CCGTTGTGACACCGGATTGTGAGAGTGCGACGGGGACGATACGCGGATCCTAGCATCGGCTACGAGCTTCGGTTACCTGGGAAATTGCATCGTCCGTTGCAGTCGACGCTTGGACGGAATCGTTCGACGGAACTCTGACAACGAGAGATACGAAGTTGAGAAGTGCGCCTGGTTCTTGGCTCTTGCGATTCGACGTCGTTTCGCAAGTGCACTCGCGCGAGAGACTGTGAGCGTCGGAAACACGGATCGACGATATGTATTGACGCGTCGCTCGTTCGTCGAATCGATACCGAAAAGTGGATCGAGGGAAGAACCGTAAGAGTCGGTAACGACAATGTCGTCGGCTGCTTGAGCAGAAAGACCGGGAGAAATCGAATCGTCATGCCGGTCTCGTAAAGAAACTGTTGTGACTTTAATGGGGGGATCCGCTCGCGCCGGCTCGGTCGGTCCACGACGATGCGGCGGGTTCTGAGAATAACGGGCTTGGGAGTCGTTCGTCGAATGCCAGCCCGTGAACATCGCCGATGATGCTGCTCGGTATCGAACTAATTGCGAGTCGATAAACTGCTACGATGACAGTTGTCCCTTGCACGTCGCACTGACGTTCGGCAGTTGGCGTCGATAAGCGTGCAGAAGCGAGGAAAACGGAGAACGATGACCGCGACGTCGTAGGTCGGTGGACGATACTCGTGCCGGTAGAAGACGAACGGTTTCCAAGGATAAAGCGGTGGCGAGTAGCACGCACGTCCGCTCGTTAGCTGCTAGTGGCGTCGTCCAGATAGCCGAGTGAAAATTACGATGTGCGTTAAGTGATCGATGGCGAGGTCTTGCAGAGACATTTAGGAAGCTCGTACTTCGACCGAGGATAGGCGCTACGACGAAATTCATAGCTTGCTAACTCGTCGAGAATCGACCAACGACCTGATCCCACGATCCTCGTTCTCGAGCGGTACGAAAAGGAAGGAAAAAAGGGTAATCGGCATGAGTAACAGCGAGGGCGTGGTGACGGGCCAAGGAACCGGAAACGATCGCCTCTGCGAGGACGTCGATATGGCAACTTCGACGTCCGCGTCGTCCAACTTGAAGCCACGAAGCGGCAAGATCAGCTTCAGCGTGGACTCCCTGCTGAGCGACATGAAGAAGACCGGCGTCAGCGGTGGCGCGTTCGCTCGACGAGAGAGCGACGATCGGATGGATACTGAGAAAAACGTGGACGTGGAAGCGAGGTATCGCGAGTTGCTTCTCGAACAGCAGAGACTTCAGAGCAGAGAGTTACTAGCGAGGTTGAGTCCACACGGGCTGGCGTTCGCCAATCACCATCATCATCATCATCATCCGTCGAGCAGACTGGATCAGGATCATCCGTCGGCCGGTCGGCAGGAGATTCTCACCGTGAAGGATTTCTCGAGAACGGCCAGTCACGACAAGTCTTCGTCGCCGATTAGAATAGACCAGGAGGTTCAGAGGGATCGAGACGATCGACGATTGTCCGCCAGTTCGCCGGCCAACAGGATCGCCGAATCTATGATTCAGAGGGAACGCGGCCAGGAGGAGGACGAGAGGATGGACAGGATCGCTGGTCCGCGATCCGTGTCGCCGGTCAGTAGACGAGAGATCATGGACGATAGAAGCGACTCCGAGGCGAATCGTTCGCTGGAAGGCGACAGGACCACCGATCATTTGGATCTGGAGGATCAAGAGATCAGAAGCGTGGGACAGTCGGAGGATTTAAACGTGATGGACTCGGACTGCGAGCTGGACAGAGAGCTGGACAACAATCAAGAGAAGGAGGAGAAGTCGAGTCCGGTAGTGCCTCAACCGATTCATCCGGGAGTTCAGAGGCCGTCTCAAGGACCGCCTTACCTCGCCGGTGCACCCGGTGCACCCGGCTGGAATCCCGCGGGATTTCCGCATTCTCTCGCGGGCTTCGCGTGGCTACCCCCACCTCCGCACCCGCACAATCCTCACGGACATCTTTACACGCCTCACGGAGGGCCAACTAGTCCGAACGGTAAGTACCTTTCTTTCTTCTGTCCTGACCTTCGACCCGTTCCGTGTTTCCATCCGTGCGTTTCCGTAAGGACGGTGCCACTTGCCGGTCCGGAACAGAATCGCCGGATCGAACGGCGCGATCGACGAACGAAAGCGAGGCCCGTGATTTAAAAGGCAGGCCCGAGAGGCAGCGTGTTCGAGTCCGCCAGAGAGACGGAAGCCGCTTATTATAAAATAAACGATGGCACCGCTATCGCGCGTCCCACATCTCGCGCTCGAGTCGACCGTAATTGCGCGCACAATTTTACAGCCGAATTGATCCCTTCGTACAGATTATTCGCAATAAAAGAGTCCCTTAAGAGCGCGTTTAATCGTCGGTTGTAAAAACGAGACGCGTATAATCCACCATGGTATCGCCTTATCGAAACAGAACCCGCGCGCGTCCATCCTACTCGAAGAAACTCGCTTCCTCTCGCTACTTGCTAACACGATCTTGCTATTACGATCTCGGTTCCTCGACCAACCTGTACCATCGCGTTAGAAATACACGGGCGAATCTCGGAAATAACAAAGCCCGCCTCCTAAATGGTATAAACGGAAGAAAATGGGAAACCGGTTGGCGTGAAACCGCTTGAAATTCAGGCGAACCGTAGAAAGGAGCATCGATTCGCGGCTGGCGCGCGCGCGCAGCCCATTATTCTCCGGCATCAAAGCCACATCGCGCGGTTCGCCGGTGGAATATTAGCCGAGGGCCGGGTACACGCTACTTATCAAGCCGATTTACGGGTACGGCGTAACTAACTTGCCTCCGTAAATCGTTATTCTCGTTTCTTTTTCGCCTATCGGCGGTGGGTTGCGAGCCGCGTGGCAGTCCCAGGTTACAATGTTGATGATTAGGAAGGAGTACGCCGGGTGCCGGTGGCACAGGCCACGACACTCGTAACACGCAGCCCCATAACGCTCGATATTAGCGGTGCCGGTCACGCGAGAACCCGGTTATTATCGGAATTACGTGCTAAAGCGTTCGCCACTGGTCCGCTTCTCCGGCTACGGCTACGTAATTCAACTCTGGAACTCGGAAGTTGTTAGGCTAGAAAAGCCTTTCCACCTCGAGAGGAGACCACGCTGTTCTACCGAGTTCTCTCGCGAATTTATACTAAGTTTTTCCTCGGGTTGGTTCTACGTGGCTGTAAGACGCGGCAGGAATTTCGCATCTTGGCAACGATACATACGCGTTGAGAGGGCTCGTCGTCGATATTCGCGAACGAAAATAAACGATATCGCGGACTCTGAGATCGGGTATCGCGAGATTGTCGACGGAAAAATGATTTATTAACGAGCAGACGACGCGGTCACGGCAAACACGATGATTGGACGTAACGAATCTTTTACGTCTGGTTTTCGTATCGCGATATGCGACGCAACATGGACAATGCGGAAACGCGTTTTTCTGAATTGCATTCTTTATCTTCGCGCCAAAGATCTAACGACAATGGTTTCCAGTTTCTCGACTTTGTTGCGTTAATGTCGCTCGAACAATGACGATGATTAACAATTCGCGATTCTATGATACCAACTACCCAGGCTGTTAGACGCACCTTCCATCCTTCGTTTCCTGCTTGAGCGTTCGTTGTCATCCTGACGCGGATGAGAAACGAGAATCGTCGTTTACGAAGCGAAACGAAATATGTATTTGAAAGTTGGCGGATAGCAGCGCGTCGATGTATCCAGGGAAAACTGTTAATCGCGTCGGTATCGGTGACGTTTAGTGTCGCAACGATTTCCACGAAACGATTTGCTCGAAGAAAAAATCGGTCTTCGACGTTAGAGGACTATGGCGATCGAGTAAATCACCGATTGACTGGAATTACTTTTGTTTCCTGTCGAGCCAGGGCGTGGAATACGTCAACCACGCGAAATAATCGGTCAATTAAACTAGCTGGCTACCCGTTTCGATCCATGAATCGTTCTACTCGCGGAAACGTGCCGTGGCAATGCCTTCGCTCCTGATTCTGACATCCACGTCGATTCTTACACGTAATTGACAATTTCACCTCGTCGATGACAGCTTTGTGTCAACTGCTTTAAAGTCTGGTAATTCTGCCTAGCTCCAATTAAAATTTTTACCCTGCCAAATTAACTTCGTTCAGAGAATTCGGGATCAAAGTCTTACAGGTTCTTCTCTTCTTTACGCTAAAAGGTATTTACTCTCGTTCGACGTCTCGTAAATTAAAATTTCTCAAGTCCTCGGTTGATAACAGCTTCGTGTCGAGTCCCTCGGAGTCTCGACCTCCGATTAAAACTGTTGCCATCCCCCCCCC